TAATCAATACTGCTGAGACCCTTAGAGACCAGACACATCGCCTTAGAGCGAGTTCTGTCTTTTTTGTCCTTCTATGTGTGTGCGTGTTTACAACCCGTTACCGTGGAAACCGCTGTGATGCTGTGGCACTGACCCTCCACACGCACCCGTCCGGACAGCTGGCATCACAGTATTTTGTAAAACTGTAGAAAGCAGAGACGGTGTTTCTGAACATGGGACCTGAGCAGGCCGGTGGGGCTGAGGGGAGGAGACGCTGGCGTTGGGGTTGGAGTGCGGATGCGGCTGTAGTCTCGGCTCTTTGTCTTCTCTCCTTCATCCCTCCGTCTCTCCTGGGAGAGGATGACAGCAGAGGAGGAGAGAGGGAGGGAGTGCTCAGGGTTACAGCTGACAGGATGACAGAGAGCGCGTCCTTTGGATTTACCCACTGTAAGACACACAGACACAAACATCCTGAGCCGGAGTAAATATGTCATCCACCCTCTGAAACATAGGACGCATCTGTGAACTCTGATTGGTCAGCAGCTGTCTGTTAAAACCAAACTCGTCCTAAAGCCAGTAATAAGCTGTGGTTGAACACTTTAAATGTTTTAGTGTGACATCTAAAATATTCACACGTGCTTCAGACAGTTTCATGTTTTGTTCTCCAACATTAAACACGTCCGTGAATCTGTCTTACTAAACAAACCTGGACCAATCAGGAGAAAGCACAGGTAACTTCAGGCATGTTTTATGCATGACACCAGTGATTGGATTAGCGGAACAGGTTTTACTCCGTCACCTTCCAAGGTTCTCTACAACAAACTATCTCAACCTCTGTTTCATAGAGAATGACCTGACATTAAAAGAACGTCAGAGAAACACAAACTGAGTAACTTCAATCACTTTTTGTTTAAAAACACAAACTCATGGATGTACCTGCACTGTACAAAGGGACAGAGACCATTGTTATGCAACTTTTCTTGAATAAAAGCTGTTTAAATGAGACAACAAGAAAAGAAAAATCAGACGAACTAAGTTCAGTTCATTTTTATTTCAAACATTTCAAACGTGCTTTCACAATCATTACAAAATATCATTCCATTATCTGTTTGAAAAGGAGCAGAAGTATTTACTTATTTGTCCCCACCCCCTCAAGTTTGACCTCTCATTCATTTATTTTCTATTTAGTCTTAAATTAAACAAACAACATGTGAAACAAAAGTAAAGCAAAACAAACATACAGAATTCAAAAACAAGAAATAATCAAGCCCCACCCCAGTACAGTTTCTTTCATATGAAAAAGACACAATGTGTAAATTTGCAAATTCACAAGTTATGGAAAAACAAACAAACAAACAAACAAACAAACAAACAAACAAACAAACAAACAAACAAACAAACAAACAAACAAACAAACAAACAAACAAACAAACAAACAAACAAACAAACAAAAAGAACAACAACACCATTACCAGCAACATCTCCGTCCTGGTTTAACCCAGTTTTATGTTTTTACTGTCTTTTATTTCTTCAGTTAGTCTGCTCCAGAATTTAACTCCTGCAACTGAGATAGATTCTTAAAGTTGTTCTAGCACTTTGCATTTTTAAATTCCACTTCCCTCTTAAGTTATACCCACCGTCTCTTTCTATGAACAATTTACAGATTTCTTTTGGAAGCAATTTATTTCTTACTTTATACATTATTTGTGCAGTTTTAAGCTTCACCAACTCTTGGAATTTAAAAGCTTGCATTTTGACAAAGAGTGCATTTGTATGGTCCCTGTACCCACATTATTATTAATCTGATGGCCCTTTTCTGTATTCTAGTTACTGTTTGTGTGTTACTCTTGTATGTTTCCCCAGACCTCGACACAGTAGCTCATATACAGCAGTAGTAAAGCACAGTATAACATGTGCAGGGCTTTCTGATCCAACATGTGCTTTGCGTTCCCCACGACGGCCCCGTGCCAGTTTCCCCCGAGCATCAGTGCTGTGTGGCTTCCAGCTCGTGGTCAATGATCACACCAAGATATTTCATTTCATTGACTCTTTCTAAATATACATTGTCAACACATATTACTGCTTTGATGTTTTTCTTTTGGTTTCCAAACAACATAAATCTGGTTTTATCGAGATTCAATGATAATTTATTTATATCAAACCACTTCTTTAATATCGTTAATTCCTGTGTGATCTTCCCCAAAACCTGTGGCAACTCCCCACCTGAACACAATATATTTGTGTCATCTGCAAATATTACAACCTTTAAAATCTGCGATACTCTGCAGACATCATTTAAGTACATAATAAACATTTTTGGACCCAGTACTGAACCTTGAGGTACTCCACAAGCTATATCCATCAAATTAGATTTATATTCATTTATTTGTACATATTGTTGCCTATTCCCTACATAGATTTTTACCCAGTCCAAAACCACTCCCCTACCCACACCTTTCCAGTTTGTTATTAGAATTTCATGATTAACAGCATCAAACGCCTTTAGATGTAAGAAAACGAGTGCGTACCTCTTATTGTCCACACGTTCTGTTATCTCTTCCATTAAATCTATCAGTGCCAAAGCTGTTGACCTGTTGCTTCTGAACCCAAACTCACTATCCGTCAGTAATTCATATTTTTCCACAAAACTGTCAAATCTTTTTATGAAGAGTTTTTCCAGTATCTTAGAGAACTGGGATAGTATTGACACTGGTCTATAGTTTGTAAAGTGATGCCTTTCACTGGTTTTCTAAATGGGAGTAACTTTAGCAAAACCGCTGTTTGAAACGACAAGTTGAATATATATTTTAATGGTTTTACAACACCATCAATCTTTACTGTTAGCATATAAATATCATTCCAGTCTGTACTGGTTTTGTTCTCTATGTCATGAATCTCTTTCTCTTCCACTGCTCTTAAAAACATTGAGCTTCTGTTGCTTCAGTATTTTCACCAGTGTCCCATCAACCTTTATTTCTTCTGCCAGTTTTGGCCCCATGTTTACAAAGAATTCATTAAAGCCATTTACCATCTCTTCCATGTTATTAATACTTCTTGTCCCTCTATAAAGTACCCAGGGTAATTGTTATTCCCTGATTCATCTTTGATTATACTGTTTAATACATTCCAGATATCTCTTGTGTTATCTTTATTGTGTTCTAACCTTTTAATGTAATACTCTCTTTTACAGGATCTCATTATATTAGTTCATTTATTTTTGTGAGTTTTATACTTCCTTTCAGTTTCTATTGTTCTCTTTTTTATGAATTCTCGATACAGGGTATTCTTTGTTTTGCTGGCATTTTGTAGTCCTTTAACGTCTTCTCTGTTCTTATTCTTTTGTAAATAATCTTATGTCCATCGTTGTTCACTTTATAATGGCAATTATAAGATGCAAAGACTGGTAAATGGTCACTTATATCATTGACTAATAGCCCACTTTTTATATTTTCTTCTATTATATTTGTAAATATATTATCTAATAGAGTCGTGCAGTGAGATGTTATTCTGGTCGGTCTTGTTATCAGTGGAAATAAACCGATGCTGTACATGGAGTCAATAAATTCTGCTCTACTCTTATTATGAGTCAATATTAAAGTCCCCACAGATAAACACTCTTTTCTGCTTTATATTTGTAAATAAGTCCTCCATATTATCCTTGAATATCTCAATCTTAGATCCTGGTGTTCTGTAAATACAACTGACAATTAGGTTTTTCCTTTTTTCCATACACTGTTATCAATAACAGTCGTCGTTCTTCCCATTCTTTCGTACTTTAGGTTTTTATCAATGTAAAGTGCCACCCCACCTCCTTTCTTGTTGATCCTGTCTACATGAAGGAATTCATATCCATTTATTTTAAAGTCTTCTTCTTTTTCAGGAGTTATCCAGGTCTCTGATATGGGTGAGGGTTATAAAGCCTACCCTAACCCCATCACCTTGAATGGCTGTTTAAACTGTGTTATGTTTTCTTTGATGGATTGAAAGTTTGCATATAAGCTTTGACTCTTAAAGTGAACCGTTGTTAAACCCTTTTCTACCTTGATTTTCTTTTTAAGTTGCTCGTTTGTATAATAATTGCATTCATTTTTCTTATTGTTAAAGAAATTACAATCAGGATCTGTGTTGCTGTCATACACCAATGTCCTATTGTCAATATCTATGAGTTGTTAGTTGAAAACTGTCAGACATCTGCGTTGGTTGTGCACTTGGACGGTCCCGTCATATTTAGCACTGCTTTGCATTCTGACTTATCAGTTTTATCTTTGTAGGTGTGTCGTCTCATTGATGACTAGAACCTGCTCTGGTCTTCCATTTAACTCAATGAATATTTTACAGTCTGACGTCCAAGTTCACTGTATTTTCTTCTGTTTTCTTAATATCCTTGCTTGTCTTGCAGTGTCAGCATTTTTCTTGATTAGGTGTTTGTTTAAATAAACATTTGTACGCTTTCTTCCTCGCTTGAGCAGTTCTTTTTTCTGTTTTCTATTTACAAAACGTATGATAATGGCAGGTATTTGATTTTTGTTTTTCCTTGGGAGAGGATGGCATCCCTCAATATTTTTACTGTCCATTTCGATACCCTTGCTTTTGAAGATGCCGTTACCTGCTCTTCCAAAGAGCGTAGCTCTTGCTCGGGTGGCTCCCCTCTCTCTGACGCTGCTACCCGTGCATGTCTGATGCTTGGTTTCCAGTCCCGTCACTATCACATCATTTACTCTTGAATATTGTTTGACAGTCTAGGATCGCCCCTGGATTCGGTGCTCATATAATTAAACCTCTCTTGAATACTCAAACCTTTATTGTAGAAGTAAAATGTTGATCAAACAGCGTGCACTCCAAACAGCTCCAGCCTTTTGATCTTAACCTGTGAGATGGTTTCCAGTAGAGCATTCCTCCTCCCAGCTTCACATTTGTGTACAGCAGATCATCCAGTTTGATCTTAGTGTGTGTGTGTGTGTCTATTACTGGTTAATAGATATGCAATCAGCCCTGATCACACCTCATCTGTGTGTTTGCAGGTTTTTCCTCAAGTTTTTTCTGAAGTGTAACCAGAACTGCCTGAAAAATGCAGGAAACCCACGAGACATGAGGCGATTTCAGGTAAAGCACACACACACACACACACACACACACACACACGCACGCACGCACGCCGCACACACACACACACACACACACACACACACACACACACACACACAAATAATTCATTTCCCTAAAGGGCAGGACATGGCTGTGGATGATCCCATAATGCATTGCAGCAGGGCAGCCCAAGGCTTATTGCTTTGGAGATAAAATATGAGAGGTCATCAGAGACGTCTGTCTGTCCATCCTTCCAATTATTTGTGTTCAGCATCTGTTTGGTGTCTGAATGAAGTGTTAAATGATTAAATTCAAGCTTCCTGTCAAAAGCAGTAACATGGTAGTAAGTGTCAGTCACAATCACGCCAGTACAGACAGGATAATTCGACGTTCACTCATCAATAATGAAACTTTAAAAATAAATAATCCTTTGATGAGTAGAACTGGTGGAGAACAAAGAACCTGATGTTGCAGAGGAACACTCGTTCATGAGAATGAGAGTTTGTTCCTAACGATCGCTGCTGGATCAGAGTCGGCCTGTCCATGTCTGATGCTGGTAAGAGAAAGAAACCAGAAGCTTCTCAAACATGAAGCCCCACCAAACAAAATCTCCCACCCGGAGCTGCCTGAAAGCATCAGAAGCTCCAGATGTTGAGGGTATCTGCAGATGTTTATCACCACGGCTACCACAATAGAGTTTTAAAAGACGTGAGGGCGTAATAGCCCACGTAAGCTGCATTTATCAGTGGTGCTTCAGAGCATCAAATCATAAAACCTTTCTGTAGTAGAAATGTGCTCCACACTGTGGGGTCTGAGCCGTCAGCCTGAGCACTAAACCAACACACAGTAGAATGTGTCATTGATGTGTTTTTATTACATTGATCCTCAAAGTCTTTGCAATCAGGGAACAAAGAAAATAATCATGAAATCTAAATACTTGCACTAAAAGACAGACGGTCATAGCAGTTATTTATTATTATTATTATTATTATTATTATTATTATTATTATTATTATTATTATTATTATTATTATTTTCTTTTCCCACTATTTTATAGCGATACTTATGTGTGTGTGGGGTCTTTGCATGTTGTGTGTGTTATAATATTGATTTGATTTGATGTTGGTATGTTTGAAAGCGTAGCTGCGTGTCCGTGCAGACACTCAGTAAAAGAAAAGATCAAAATGCTGCTCTGGATTTACAGCAGCATAAAAATGTTTACGTTTCATTCACGATCTCAGTAAATATAAAGGAGGCAGTAAAGCTGCTGTGACCCTCTGTGTTGCGTCTCAGGGAGAGCCTGCTGACCCCGAGCGCCTTCATGAAGCTCAGATTAACTGAGTGCGCAAATACATACGCCCCACATTAAACACCCTCAACCACGAGAGCTTCATTCATCAGACACTTAACAACGAGCACCGCTTATCAGGAAGAAGAGCCCCATGATTGATCCTCATTATTGATCAGACCCATCGTACCGTTATGGTCCAAAAGAGCAGCTGAAGCCAGCAGGAGGTGGGAGGAGAGAGGAGGAGCCATAAAACATAAACACATATTTGAAAAAAAACGAATACGTTCAAATCTGCAGAAAGTAAACAAAAACTTTGATGTTCTTATGTAAGGAAAACATGGAATGAGCTGACAGCATGCGATTTATGTGATGAACATGTTTCTAAAAAGTTGCTGCATTACGTCAAACACATCAACACGTTGATGAGTCCGTCGATGTCTGCAGCACCAACAGCTGATGAAAATGAAAGAAAACAAACTTCTGCGACCTGTCGCTCGGAGGAAAGTCAGTACAGCCATAAGAAATGTCAGGTTCACATAGCGTCTCCTTCATCGCGCTGTTACCTGTTCACTGCCAATCACAGGAACCCAGAAACAACAAGACAACACCAGCAGCCTGTTGTCGGTTACACCAGCTCGGTCTGTGGGACCAAGAGCTTCAAACCTGCAGTTCCTCTGACATCCAGCAGAGGCAGCAGTCAGTCAGTACATGTACATGGCTGATACACAAACCGGCCATTACTCAGTAAGCAAGCGCGCTAGTTCCTACCTCGTAAGTTCACGAGGAAGTCCAGAAGAATGCTGCGTTCGGAACAACAGGATGAAAATATCTGTTAGTGTTAACTCAGAGTCAGCACATTTTTACACCAGAGAATAAAGACGGGCCAAAGATTGATTTCCAAATATACTGGCAGCTCTCCAGTGAGACATTAAAGTTAAATACAACGATGCAGTTATAAAGCTGAACTTTAATCAAAGTAACTTGCTCAGGAACAAATAAAACACTGAAATAAGCCAAACATGAACCATGGATCATCAAAGTGAATTTCATCTCATGCTTAATTTCCACTGGGTGGCGAAAGCGAGTGCCGTGATTCAGGCGTTTCTCACGAGCCTCGACCTCCCGGTCAGCTGACATCTCTGAAAATGTTGGAGCACTTTTGTAAACGGGCAATGTCTCGATAAACGATATTTAACTTTACACGTCTACATCTTTAAACATCTTTAAAGTTGTGATACAGAAAAAGTAATATTTCAAACTTTACTTAGAGTCTTTGCCACGCTCATCCACTGTTGCCACTTTCCCTCTGGGCTTAATAAAGTCTCTCTGATTTTCAGTTTTAGACGAAATGCATTCTGGGATACTTGGCCTCAACAAGCCCAGACAAGTACACACGAGAACATGCAAGTATGCATATTGAGAAACAACCTCTGGTTGGGTCTCTATAGATTATTTCCCCCCTCGTAACAGCTGCAGGGGGGAAGATGTTTTATAACTTGGCCTCTTCGACTGACAGGTGGGTTTAGCTGCGAACTGTCTGCTAATATGGCTGCTGTGAGGTTATCGTAGTAACAGGGTATCCAAGGAGTCTGAGAAGCCTGCTAATGTTTAAGCTTCAAAGCCTCAGAAAGCTCTGCAGCTTCATCCCACAGATGTGTTTTTACAGGAAGGAGATGCCCTACACCTACTGTCCACCTGACCAGCCAATCAGCTTGCACAGCAGGTGATGTTCACTCAGGAAGAAAGAAACAAGCTTTATTGATAACACACACAATCATACGGAGAAATGTGTCATGTCCGAGCTGCAGACGTAGGGCTTGGTGTTTGGCACGGGGGGCCTACCCAGGACCTTGACTGGATGCTGGGATGGAATTGAACTTGCAGCTTCCACTCCAAAGGTGTGTGGTCTTATCACTACACTATCCAGCTGCCACAGATTTTACTCACGAAGCTTCGCTGCTGCTGAAAGAGAGGAGACGTGTCATTCGAGGAAACTGCCTCTCTCCTCCGTCTGCTCGTTGTCTCACAGCTTCACGCACACACACACACACACAGTAACACACACACTCGCCGCCACGCTGCGCTGGCCACGCTGACAGGATGTTAAGTCCACTTAAAGCAGCGGGGCAGGGGGAGGGGGAGACGGGCCAAGCGAGCTGCAGGAGGAGAGAGAGGAGGACGGAGACAGGTGAAGTCAGGTGTGTACTCGTGTGTGGTTGTCGTGGTGACAGCAGGGTGAAGGATGTGCTGGTTAGCCACTGTGGCGACAGAGGACACTTCTACTCGCTCTCAGCGTGACCTTCTGCTCCGTCGCCATGGATCAACGGCAACAACCTCGCCACGGCAACCAGCCACAGATGATGAATGGCCACAACCTGGCACCTGGCAGTGACATCATAAAGAAGGCGGGTTCATTCAGACAATGAACCTTTTTACGTTTGTCACATCATTTTATTTCCTGTGTTCAAACACTTTATACTCATCCTGTTTGCGGCTCGTTTAGAGTGTTCCACAAACTTTCATCAGGTCAGAGGTCAAAGAAATATCAAAGCATAGAGTTTACAGTTTGTTGCCTCCTCATTATGAAATCTTAATTTTGTTTTAGAAGCCTTTAATTAAAGAGGAAATAATGTCTGACGGTGACATCATCAGTGTGACTAGTGTTGGGAAGGTTACTTTCAAAATGTATTCCACTACAGATTACAGATTACATGCCCCAAAATGTATTTTGTAACGTATTCCATTACGTTACTCAGTGAGAGAAACATATTCTGAATAGTTTGGATTACTTAATATATTATCATGCTGTTTACAGCTACATCCTATTGCTGTGTGATTTATTACTATTACTGAAGGTTACTCTCCACACCAACGCCAGCTAGATGTTTAAATCTTAATATAAATGAGTAACAGCAGGTGGACATTAGGTAAAGCTGCACTTTTTCCTGTGATCTCGTATAGAAAACTATTCCTCGCGTATATAAAACAGGTCCGCGGCTCCGAACCGTAGTAAAGGGACCTCTGGCTAATACGTCGGGCTCGTAGCTGAAAACTAGCTTTACTTTGTTGTCTGGGTCAAGTTTTAGACAGAGAGAGGCGTTGAAAGGCTGCTGCAACAGAGCTTATTGTTTCAGAGGAAAACATGAACACAGCGTAGTCGAGTCTTAACAGCTTACTCACAGCTGGGCTCGTCAAAAATATTTCTTCACGTCATTATGAGCCGTGAGATTGAGACTCGTGCATTTGAGCCTCTTAATGCGTGTTTTGTTTGGGTTTTCACCGGCGTGGAAACCAAAAATAGAGAGAGCATAGCCTAACATGTAACTGTAACTGAATACAGTTACTCATATTTTGTATTTTAAATACATAACGGCGGTGCATGTACTCCGTTACTCCCCAACACTGAGTGTTCCTGCTGTCATGATTAAATGTTTTTGGCTGTGTCTCTGCAGGTGGTTGTGTCAACGACGGTGAATGTGGATGGTCACGTTCTCGCCGTCTCCGACAACATGTTCGTGCACAACAACTCCAAACATGGCCGCCGGGCGCGGAGACTGGACCCGTCTGAGGGTACGCTTCTTTTTAACTCTTTTTTGCACCCCTCACTCAGATAGTGGAGCTGATGAACAAGTGCCAACCTTTCATCCAAACATGGCGACAGGCTGGGCGTGCTCAAAGGAGAACTTCCTGTCAGAGTTTCAGAGTCCACCAATCACAGTCAGCTCCTGTACTGAGAGCTCTGTCACTGGTCTGACTGGTGTAGGAGATCCGACAGTTGGAGAGAGACGAGTGTAATTTGCTCTTTGCAGAGAAATCAGCCTAGTGGATTGTGGGTAGGAAGACCAGACGCTTCAGGGTCCCCAGAGAGGACAGTGTGTGTCTATGCGTGCATGTGTGTGACTGAGTGTCTTTTCGCGGGCCGTTCAACCTCTTTAATTGCCCTCCTAATTAAAGACAGTTACCATGGAAACCACCCCTCCCAGTCAAAGCGAGGGGATGTCCCGTGGGCTTGAGCTCTCGCTCATTTTCAGCTCTGCGCTTGGTTATTTCTGCACACTTACCTCCGTGCCGTGAACGCTTTCAAACCTGCGAGTTCACCCAGCCACCCACTCCACCTCATATCCACCGTCTCACACAGGAAGTCGCCGTCCATGCACCATGTTCTCCACGTCTAAAATAAAACACCGCCGGAGTTCACTCATTGTGTTGCTCTACGAACAGACGTGTGTTTAAATATTAGATCGGTTTCCTGAGAATGCAGCGGAAACTCAGGACCAGGTGGACTCGACTGCAGATGAGTGAAACGCACGCGTGTTAGAAACACTCATCCGTGATGACAGAACAGCCCGGCCACAGTGTGTGACTCTCAGGGTGTGATGGTCAGTAACGTTTGGGTCACTTTATAACAGATTTATTTTTCTATTTCTAAAACATGAAGCGACAGCGCAGGAGCGTCACAGAAAGTCTGCACCTGACGCCAGCTCACAGAATCGCATCGAATAGAATCGAATAGAATCGAATAGAATCGAATAGAATCGAATAGAATAGAATAGAGGTCAGGTGCTATAATGCCATTTCAAGTCATCAAGTGATGAGATTAGCTGCCCTACCTCTCTCTCTCTCTCACACACACACACACACACACTAGAACGCACTTAACGGCTGACACTCACTCCCTTTTCAATTATATATATTAGAGCGGTTGGGGAGAGTATTCATTCCGGGCTTTGTATGATATATATATATGGAGAATGGATTATAGAGTGGGTGTTGTGGTGGGGTTGTGGTGGTGGGGGGTTGTGGGTGTGGTTTGTTCCTTTGGTCCTAAGTGTGGGGTTGGGTGTGTGGTGTGTGTGTTAATTGGAGTTGACTAAGCCTAAGGGTTAAACCCACGACCCAAATATATATAAAAATGTTGTGTTTTTTTGTTGGTGTGTTGGTTGTTGTTTGGTTTGGGGTGTTGGTTGTGTGTGTGTGTGTGTGTGTGTGTGTGACCTTCAGTTCTGTAGTAATGTAGCTCAATCTTTCTCAACCTGTGGGCCTGGACCCCTCGGAGAGGTCATGAAAGAGACTGAGTGTTCACAGACAGGCCCGCAGCGCTGGTTTAAAATGTGGATGTTTTGATGCAGGATGTTGAAATAATGTGTGCGAAGGCTGCTTTTCAGGAGTTGAAATGTAGTTTCTCTTCTCTGATTGGCTGTGGCTCACACTGGGATTCCTAATAAAAGCCAATCAGGGCTCCAGGCCTCTGCTTTCTGAGTATCTGTGGTTCATTTGTGCTATAACGTTTTAACATGGAGCTCTGTGGCAGTGATTCCCTGCTGGAACCTCTGCTGGACACTAGAAGAACTGCAGCTTCAGTTAATGAGACGCTAACACTTCTGTCTCTCTCTCTCTCCCTCTGTGTCTCTTGGTGTCTCTCGTCCAGCAGCCACTCCCTGCATTAAAGCCATCAGTCCCAGCGAGGGGTGGACGACGGGCGGCGCCACCGTCATCCTCATTGGCGACAACTTCTTTGATGGCCTTCAGGTCGTCTTTGGCACCATGTTGGTGTGGAGCGAGGTAATACCCATCTGATCAGTTGGATAATTGACCGATGTAGCAAACAAGGTGTATTGTGTGTGTCAATACAACAACGATGACTCTTATTATTTCTCTCTCCAGCTGATAACCCCTCACGCTATCCGAGTCCAGACTCCGCCCCGGCACATCCCCGGAGTCGTCGAGGTCACGCTGTCCTACAAGTCCAAACAGTTCTGTAAAGGAGCGCCGGGACGCTTCGTCTATACAGGTAAGGACAGCTCCTGATCATCTGATTGGATAACACCACATTTTACCAGTGTCCTCTAGCAGGAGGCACCAGGTGGGATATTTGGACACCTTTTTAAAACAAAGCTTTATTTCCAGACTTAAAGAATGTTCTTTTAGACTCAAACACGCAGAAATCACGAAGAAGAAAATGAAGCTTATGTATAAGTTAAATAAGGAAGATCTGTGGTCTCACATTTTCTATTTTTATTATTTGGCGGTCATCTAATTTTGGCTGTATTTTTCCAGTCCAATTTTATTTATAAAGCACTCTAACATAGCCAGCACAGTGCTGTTCAGAAAATAAGTGAAAAAAAAAGAATAACAGAAAACAGCAAAAATAAATAAATAAACCACGTAATACATAGAAATTAAAACAGCCCCATATTAAACAAGAAAACAAGATAAAACAGCATAGAATCAACTAAAACCAACATCTCACGGGGTGTCAAAGGTCAGGGTCAAGAGGTGGTTCTCAGGAGTGACTTAGAAACAGGCAGAGGAGAGGCCTGTCTGCCACGATGGGCCAGTCTAACCACAAAACAACCCTGACTTCAGACAGCACTCACATGAGTCAGTAATAAGTTTTAAATAAATTCTGATGGTCAAACATCTGAACCGCTGCAGGTGCAGGTAACATCTGTCTGGCAGCTGTCATTAATACTGCTCCAGCTTTCTTTCTCTATTTGTTGTCAGACTGGAGAACATTTCTTCTCTCCATGTGTCCTTATATCCTCCTCTCCTCTCTCTTTATGTTTCTTTTATCTCCGTTCATGCTGCATTGCAGTAATTATACACATTCAAATCCCATTAACCCGAAACATCTCTGGACCTTTACGTTAATGACCTCACACTGACACTCACTTATGCGAGTCACATGTTCACACAGCAGCTGCTTTCATACCCCAGCAGATCAGAGGGATCCACCACCTCCACCCTACGCTGCCTGCTTTGCACTGGGGGAAAGAAAACAGGAAGTGATGTTGAATAATACAGACCTCCTCCTCAGGTAGCAGGTCTCAGTCAAGTTTTTCTGCATGAGGCAGATCAACACATAAATGAGAAGCGCTGGCACAAGATCTAATATCATATTTAACTTGAATAAATGTAATTTAAATTTAATATTTCTCAGACTGAAGTTTTTCCATAAAATTCGATCAGATTAGGGTTTTCATGTCACAGAGTACATGGGTAACCTTTCAGTTGGAGCTACTGAACATTTGGCCTAGTTTCCTGTATTCATAATTAAAATCAATTTATAAAAATAATTTTCTTAAGTATTTAAATTATAAATAAATTATGAATAAATAAGATGGTAGTGCAAAAAGCAACCAGCTAATCGTTGAGCTGTTAAAGGAATGTCGTGAATAATGTGAGTATTTACTAAAGGAGCAAGTACCATAATGTTGGGGGATTACCTAACATTGCCCTTCCTCAGTGGGTGAAATCATTTAAAACGATGACACACGAACATAGACGTACAGCTTATCTTTATCACATGCACGGCTGGATGTACGTGTGAAGTACGTGAGTAAAGTAGAGCAGATCAATGGTGGAAACCCCGCCGATGCACATAAACGACACCACTCCGCTCGTTATGGTTTCTCTCTGTGGTAATGTGTGCGCTCAGGCAGACACACGGCTTCAGCAGTCATGCAATTTCCATGAGTATCGATCTCAAAGTATTGATCGCTCCAACGCCTCCTGTCTGACCCGCCTTCAGATTTTCACTTCCTCAACACCCTCACATACACACAGTGACACACACACAGTGACACACACACAC